AGTTTGTAATATTCTGCCTGATAGGAGTGTTTGTGTATTCCTGGGGCCTTGGGCCACACGGGAGAGTTTACACTAACAGGGTGGTTTGTGGCGGGGTCCCTGGGCTACACCGTATCAGTCTGATGGTTGGAGGGGCTGGAAACTGAGTAATGGAGGTGAGTCATGTGTTGCTCCATGCATAGGTGACTGACTCCCAGTGAAAACTCTGGGCACCAAGGGTTGGGTGAGCTTCTTTGGTTGGCAACGCTACATATGCGTTGTCACACATTTTTGCTGGGAGAATACAGTGTGGTTTTGTGTGACTCCATGTGAAAGGAAAGTTGGATGCTTGTGTCTGGTCTCTCCTGGACTTGGCCCCCTGTGCCTTTTGCCTTTGCTGATTCTAATCTGTATCCTTTCCTGTAATAACATAACCATTAGCATAACAGCTTTTCTGAGTTCTGTGGGTCCCTCTAGTGACTCATTGAAACAGGATGGTCTTGGGAACCCCCAGCATACCTCTACTGAACAGAGCTCAGAGAAGAGGTGGCAGGGTGTTTCCTTTGTCCCTTTTCAGATGACAACTGTTAAGTAACTGTAGCATATCGTGAGACTTGAGAGTATCAATGGCCTAGCACAGAGCATTCAATTATAGTGGGAAAGGCCAGTAGCCAGAGGTTCTGTATATAGTTTTATAGGTGGGGACTGAAGAACTAGAAAAATTAAATGAGTGCATACATGTTGAGAAGACTTCACTGATACCTATAAGTTTGTGGGGACTGAGGATTTTTGGTTGTATTTGTTACCAGATCCTCCAGATAATTTAAAAATTATAGCCATGTTCTCTTAGTATGGTATATAAATATACCCCTTTCCATATTAAGGAGGTAGAAGGCCCTCATAAACCAGGGTAGTTACGTTCCTAGTCCTTTTCTGGAAAGCTTCCAGCTACCTTCTGCCTTCGACACCAGTTCAGGCACGTCACCTTCCTTGCCAGGTTGCACCTCCCGTCTGAGAGGAGCACCTTGGCCGTGATGGGCACCCAGCTCCTGTGGGCATAAGTGTCGCAAATGCTAGGATTAGGGGCAGCACTCTCTGTTCTCTTTGTAGGCTTGCCATTTTGGCAACATGTTTGTTGGACTTAGGTCATTTTCTCCTGAATACTTCTGTTTCAATTCATTGAATTGAATGAGCCTAGGTAAACTAGGGAGAATTATTGTTCACCTTTAAGAGGATTAGTAAGATGAAATCTGTCATTCTGATTGCCAGGAATGACTGAACCAATCACTTTACCTCATGGGGCCTCATTTTCCTCATGGGGAAACTTGGCACGGACTAGATAGTCTCTAGCTTTCTTGTATCTTTAAGGTTCTATGATAACATGGAATTGATTTTTAAATTTTTATTTCTTGGTTATCATAGGAGCTACATTTGTTGAGGGTTTAATAGGAACCACTTTCCCAAAGTGCATGGATTGGCTACTTTAATCATCACAACAACCCTCTGACGTAGGTGTTATCAATATTATCCCCATTTTACAGGTGGGGAAATTGAGGGACAGAGCAGAGAGATAAACTTGCCCAAGAAAACGCAGCTAGAAAGGGGTAGAAATTGTTTTGAATCCAGACAGTGTGGGGACTGGTCCCATAACCAATCTTCAATGCTGCCTTCTCTATCAAGTAAGTTAGAGACCACATTTTTCTTTAGTTTGATATGTTCATTTGGTTCATCAATAAGGTGAACTAGAGGCAAAGGTCTAAGCCTTGTGCCCTGACCTGCCAGCTTATGCTGGGACCCCTCAGCTCTAGTCTGAACTGTCCCAGGGCCATGCCCCTCGCCACTTTCTCATGGCCTGGGGATGGGTCACCTGAAATTTTGGAAATAGTTCTATGTCCAATCTCCAGACCATCCTGGACCTATAAATGATTCCTGAAAGATTTTCTAAGATGCAGACATGAAGAAAAAAAAAAAAAAGGAAATGGATAAAAACCAGATGTGATATTAAAAATATTTAACAATTGTATGGTGTGGGCACAGATGGGTCACACTGAACATCAGCAGCTAAGTCTGGAGTGGGATCCTAGGGGCCTCTGCTTGCCTGGTGTGTTTGGTTCCTGGACAGTGGGAAGGGGGTCCCAGGCAAGGCCTGGGGCCATAGTTGAGGGTGTTCAGGGGGCCTTTGGGCAATGGCTACTTACCAGCCTTATGAGATATTTTGGTATTTCAATGACTTGTACCAGCACCTCTGTAGCCCTTCCTGTAACTTTGTACAAACTAGGAAAAGGCTCCTCCTTTCCTGGGTACTGAGCTTGGGGAGTGGAGTGTGGGCTGGACGCCCTCGTATTTGGGCATAACCTTCCAGAGCCTCACAGCCAAGCTTTGTAATCACAGTTCTCAGTTGGGCGTGGGGAGGGACAGGCATAGCAGAGTTTCTGGAGGGGCTGGCATGAGGTTTCCACGCTTATCCCGGAGGGGACTTAAGCCGAACAGAACTGAGGATCATTGCTTTATGACATTGCCAAGGCAATTGTTATTCTTTGCAGTTTTGCCACATTACAATAGAATGATTTCTTGTTACAAAACAGATTGGGGCCAAAATTTTTGCCTTAAATATCTCAGGAAGTACGTAATCTGCACCGACGCCTGGCCTTCCAGACATTGATTATCTGATTCTCTTGTGCTTGTTTTAATAGATGCTTTTTGGACATTTATTCTGCTAAGTATGGTACAGGGTGGAGAGGCGTGAGTTTATTTTGGCACTTAAGAGTTTCAGTGACTAATTGTTTAAATTCCTTTTAGGCCTTAGGCGCAGCTTGAAATTGTTTTTGGTATAAGCTCAAGTCACATCATTCATTCATTCATTCATTCATTCATTCATTCATTCAGCACTGAGTCTGGTTCTGTGCTTGGTGCTAAAGATTCAGAGATGATAGAAATGGCCCCTGCTCTCCGGACTAGTTAGGGAGAAGGAGGCACCTAACTCATCGTGGCCATGACCTTTGATAATTTTAATTACCAACTTTAGTCTGATATATGTTTCCAATCTAAGACATTACCTTGGTTTTAGATGTGTATATTCATTCAACCATTTATTCAACGAATATTTAATGTGTCCTTACCCTATGCCAGGCTCTATTCTAGTTGCTGGAGAGAAGATGTTGAACAAAATGGGCAATATCCCTGCCCGATAGAGCTTACATTCTGGTGCAGGAGAAGAAACAACAAACAAGAAACAAAATGAATGAACCGGATAATTTCAGGTGATGATGAATGTCCTGAAGGGAATAAGACGGCATGATGTACTAGTGACTTCTGCTAGAGTGGTCGGTGACAGCTCTTTTGATGGGAACAATCAAAAGGGAAGATCTGGGGAAAGAGCATCTCAGGCTGAGGGAACGGCTGGTGCAAAGGCTCTGAGGGAGGAATGAGCTTGTTGGATCCGAGGAATAAGATGAGGGCAAAGTGGTTAGAGCTGAGGGTAAAGGTCAGGGTACATGATATGAATAAGAGAGACAAGCAGGGCCAGGTCATGTAGGGCCCTGTAGGCCACAGGAGGATATTGGAATTTAATTCTAGGTGCAGTAGGAATCCACTGGAGGACTTTAAGAAGGGTAGTGATATATCCACATCTCTCTCTCTCTCTCTCTCTCTTTATATAAACAGATTAACCAGTGTGTATGTGTGTGTTTAAAGTCATCTTTCTTGAAGTATGATCAGTGATGTCCTGGTAAATGTTTAACAACTAGCTTTCAGGGGAGAAAGAAGTTATGATTTGTAGTGTTTGCCAATTTCTGTTGTGTAAATACCTTCTCTATGGCTGATGTCAAGCTACCAAATGACATCACCAAATGAGGAGTTGGGAAGAGAAGTGCAAAATAGGTTGTCATTAGGTGGTAAAAGCAGTTCCAGCCCATCACTAGGTATAGTTTACATGCTTATATTAAAATTCACCCTTTTTAGGTGTACAGGTCTATGAATTGTGACAGATGTATACAGTTGTGTAAGGATTTAGGTTTGGAAGCATCCCTCCTTGATGAGGGAGAATCTGATGACAGGTGTGGAAGGGTTGTGCAGATTGCTCCAGCATTTTGACAATCGCAAGATATTTTTTCTAAGTGAAATTTTCTGTTAGTTTTTAATGTCTTTGTTTCACATAATCTGATGGGGGACATCATTAGGCATTTTGGTCCTAGTGGTCTGTGGCTTAAATTATATCTGAAGATTATAAAAATAATTCAGAAATACATTGCCTGTAAAGGACTCGATCATCTTTTCTGTTTAATATTTCCACTTGGAGCCTGAAACAGATTTTAGTGACTAGATTACAAGATGGGTAATCCAGCCATAGAGGACTGAGGATCAACTTAGTATCTAGAGTAATATCTGATCTGAAGCAGCTATGTTTTTTGTTAATATAATTTATTTCTCTTGACTAATCCATTAGTCAAGGGAGTTACCAACATCAGTTGTCACTTTGTAATACAAGTAGATGACTCCATTACTATAACTTGGATTCTAAACCAGAACGTTTGCTACAATAACTCTTATATTTGGAATATTATTTAAATATATATCTGAAAGGGAAGTGAGATTTGAAAATTAATCACTATAAATACTGAGGATTAAAAAATAAGAGTTAACTTTTATTGAGTACTTACCCCATGAGTGCACTTTAAAATAATTCATTTGTTTAATCTTTACAAGAACCATTTGAAGGAAGTACTTTTGTTATCCCCATTTACAGATGAAGAACCTGAAATGTATACATTTTGGCTATTATAAAAGGGAACAAATAGGCTTCTTATTATGTCAAAGTATGGCAGATTGGGGATTTAAGAAGCATTTTTATTTCTTCTGAATGTGTCTCATTTTGAATTGTTGAGAAAGCCTCATGAAAATCTAAGAGGAAATCTGTTGATTTAAAAAAAACGTTTTTGTAGAATTAAAAGCTATAGGGTGTTTACATGTCTGGATCACAGACATGAACATTTTAAAAATAAGACACCACCACCAGTGATAAGTTGCTAAAGGAAGAAGGTTTATTGAATATAGAGAATTGACAACAGATTTCTGTAGAGTTATTAAAGGAGTCATCATATTTGTATGTGATGTTCTTCTAGGTGAATGGGGAGATACTGCTATTGACTGCTCAGAAAGAGAAAATAACAGAAAGACAACAGGACAGACATTTTTTTTAGATGTGCTCATTTTTCCAGACAGATATATGTTGCTTTTTTCCCTCTGAGTGTATTTAGCATATGTTCTCTGTAGTGTCTCAAATTAATTGCTTTGAGATTTCTCTTCCAGGGAGTGGAGTCTGGTGGTAAGTATTTTGCTGCGTTGGTCTACCTCTTCCAGAACTTTCTTAACCACTATGGCTTTGGCTGTATCTGAAAATGAAAATTTAAAAGGAGAGTTTAAAGAGTTAAAAAATAGATAAATAAGAAACTACATCAGTTAAAGGAATACTAGGATTTTATAAAGAATGGGCTATGCAGTAAGCACAGATACTTAGACTCATTTTTTGGTGAATTTTGCTTACTTGGTTAGGTAAAATCATGGTGATATGTTACTTTGTTTAAAATTAGCATACCATTAAAATCAGAAATGTAGCAGTACTGATATCTGCTACAAATCTTTATTATTACTATATCTATTCTTACTAAGCTATGGTAATATAAAAATAATCAACCTGTACATTGAAAATGAAATAGTTGAGCACAGCAGAATTTCATTTTAATCACCTTTGACTTGATTGCCCAGGTTTCCGGATCCATAATCTTTAGACTTGTAACCTCCAGACTTACAAGCCCTGTGAAAATATCACAAAAGAGTGATTTAGAGACAGCCCCTCCAATTCTAGTTTCCCCATTAGATTTTCTTTACTTCCTTGATAACATATTCAGTGGGTTACACAGTTGAAACTACTCTGTTTCAGCATTAAGAAGTGATATTTTTAATTTTCATAAAGACAGGGCCTGTTGCATTTGGGTTTGGTAAGATATTGCACATTTGGATCTTGGCAGTAGAGTGCGCGTTATGTTTAATATTCAGCATTCACGATAATAAATGCAGCCGTATTATTAATAGTTTATGTTCACTTTCCGGGGATCTAAGTTGTGAGCAGATTTCAGTGCAGTACACCTTTCCTATGCATTATTTTACCTACCCATCTTCTCCTCCTATGAGGAGACAGTAGGTCTCGATCTCTTTTTCCAGGTGGACCTTGATGTCGAGCAGCTGCTCGTACTCGAGCTTCTGGCCCTCGGTCTCGGTCCGGACCTGGTGCAGCTGCTCCTCCAGGGCCCCGATCTGCGCCTGGATCTGCGCGAGCTGCGCGCAGTAGTTGCTCTCGGTCTCCGTCAGGGAGCACTCCAGGGACTGTTTCTGTCAGGAGGCAAGAGAGAGAAGCTGAGGCACACATACAGACATGCAGAAATTTCCTTGTTATATGGTTTCCCCCTGTCGTTAACTTTATCTACAGTTGTCTTAGGTTTCACGCCGACACGTGGTTAAGACGACCCCATGACACCGCTTAAAAATAAGCAAAACCCTCTTTTTGGTAGGATAGATCTAGAGACGTGGGTGTTGCTGTTTTAGCTGTTGTCTGCACGCTCCACTTCTTTCCTTACATTTTAAGATAATTATGAAAACACAGGTGGACCTATTTTCAACACTGTTAAGGACTTAAAAACCAGCTGGCGCATATCGAAAACGGTGACCCAGGGACGGTGGGGCGCTGTCCTGGTGGGGCGCTGTCCTTTTCGTACCGTGGCCAAGAGAGACTGCAGCTCGATTTCCAGGGTTTGAAGAGTGCGCTTCATCTCTGTCAGCTCGTTCCGGGCCGAGGTGGTGGCTCCCACGTCCTCCGAGATCTGCTGCTGCAGAGAAGCGCTCTGAAACGACAGAAGCCAGGGGGCAAATCTTAGCTTTGTGGACATCCCCAAAATGCAGACAGGGATAGTTCTCTGGACGAGACTCACCTTTTCGTTGAACCAGGCCTCGGCGTCCCTGCGGTTCTGCTCCGCCAGGGCCTCGTACTCGGCGCGCATGTTGTTCAGCAGGACGGTGAGGTCCACCCCGGGCGCCGCGTTCATCTCCACGTTCACGTTGCCGCCCGCCGCGCACTGCAGCACTTGCATCTCCTGCGGGCAGGAAGGGTTCCGCTCAGCGGCCGGGGACCTCACCGCAGGTCCCCCGAGCTCAGCTTTGGAAGGGTGCTTAGAGTCCCTCCCTCCCCCGCCAAGCCGTGCAGTGACCCCTCCCCCCACACCTTGTATTTCCTGTCCAGTTCACTTAACTCTCAAAGACGGTGAACTCACTACCTTGTGAAGCAGCCTATTTCATTCTGGGAGCGTTTGAATTGTTCCAGAGCTCTTCCTTATGGTGAGCCTGACTCCTGCTCCTAAAACTTCAATCTGCCTGTTGCAGTTCTGCTACCATGAGCAAGTCTTAATTTCTTTTCAAATTAATTTCAAATGAAAGTTTTTTTTTGTTGTTGTTGTTGTTTTTTCTGAGACAGAGTCTCACTCCGTTGCCCAGGCTAGAGTGAGTACTGTGGCATCAGCCTAGCTCACAGCAACCTCAAACTCCTGGGCTCGAGCAATCCTGCTGCCTCAGCCTCTGGAGTAGCTGGGACTACAGGCATGTACCACCATGCCCGGCTAATTTTTTCTATATATATTTTTAGTTGGCCAATTAATTTCTTTCTCTCTCTTTTTTTTTTTTTTTTTTTGAGACAGAGTCTCACTTTGTTGCCCAGGCTAGAGTGAGTGCCATGGCGTCAGCCTAGCTTACAGCAACCTCAAGCTCCTGAGCTCAAGCAATCCTCCTGCCTCAGCCTCCCAAGTAGCTGGGACTACAGGCATGCGCCACCATGCCCAGCTAATTTTTTCTATATATATTAGTTGGCCAATTAATTTCTTTCTATTTGTAGTAGAGACGGGGTCTTGCTCTTGCTCAGGCTGGTTTCGAACTCCTGACCTTGAGCGATCCACCTGCCCCAGCCTCCCAGAGTGCTAGGATTACAGGAGTTAGGCACCACCCACGGCCGAAAGTTTTTAAAAATACTTAAAATGAATTAACCCCCATCTCTTATTCTATTCCTTCATAGTGTAAATGTCTCCACCTTCGCGGACTGGTCTATATTCTGCTAGAGGCCAGCTTTGATGTGTTCTCAAATCAGCTATATCCTGAACACAGCATGAACATGGCTGAAGGGCTGAGTTTGGATAATTCTGAACAATTGAAATGATTACAAATAAGTAAATGTATATGTGTGTGTGTGTGTGTGTGTGAGATACCCCCCAGGGAAGAACACCATCCTCTGAAGAATTCTAGCTTTGTTTTAAGCTAACACAGGGACCATATAGCGTCACGTTAGACTTTAGTATCAGACAAATCTCTGTGGGAATTTTACTCTTGCCTTGCAGTGGCTGGGTAAGTTTGGAAAGTTGCTTAACCTCTCTAAGTTTCAATGTACTTATCTGAAAATTGAGGATCATTAAAAACCCTTCTCTGGGCTGTTAAAAGAAGTGAAAGAACTAATAATAAAAATACTTAGAAACACTGCCTGGCATGTAAATGCTAAACAAATGCTGGTTATTCTGAGTATTATCATCCTGGAAGCTGGAATCTATTTTGCAGTCAAAGTCTATACATTGTTTTGTGTGAGCTGCATGCTGTTAGAATGCAGTGAGTCAGTTCCAAGACTGTGGGTGGCAAGCATCACTGCTAAGACCGTGTAAATTGGAATATCATAGATGAGCTTATGTCTCTGCTGTGGGAACCCTCCTCCTTCCTGTAGCAAAAAGCTTCCTTTCCTTCCTGTAGCAAATCCCCATGCTATTCTAGCATTCTTTCCTTGTTGGGGGACCCTATACCTTTTCTATCTCCAGATGTGGTTTTTCACTTTGGACGATTTAGTGAAAACTTCCCTAGCTCAAACAGAAAAAGATTAAAAAAAATATATGGGTTTGCCTGTGAAACATTAAAAAAATAAATTGCAGTCATCACAAATTTATTGAACTACCATTGAACTACTACTATACTTGATTTCATATAGCCAAGGAAATGTTGTTACTCAAGTAGTTATAAGGTAGCCTCATGACTAATCAAGTAGCATTCTTAATGTATTTTCTGCTTTAAGCATTTGCCTTGACTTTTGAAGTTTTTTGGCCATTTAAAAGTATCAAATTCCTTTTCAAAAGGGCAAAGATTTTTTCCCTTTTAGAGAACAGTGGCTCTGACAGCAATCCCAAAGATCTAATGACTGCATGATCCAATTTTGAACCTAGCTTCCAACAATGACCACTTTGGAAGTATACTATTTGCTGAGAAGTATAAATTCTGGTATAACAGTTTAATTTCAGTCTCGTTATTTTTATAGCCAAACCTATTAAGAATACGTACTATTGTTAAGTGTGTATATTTAACATGTGTATAAAGTAAATGGTTTAGTGTTTTAAATCTGCCACTGTTTGATAGAAATTTAGACCTTGTTTTCTTAGAATGTCCTTAAAGTATATTTATTTTATCTAATCAGATATAATCTTCTAAGTGGACCATTTAAACATAGTTGTAATTACATAGCCAAACACTGCTCTTATAACCCTGCTTGGTCTGGAAAACATGATGTCTCTTTTTTTCCCATGGGAAACTTGATGAGAGAGCAAGGGTGGATCTGTACAAACGATTCAACTCTTATAAAGACAAGTAAGCTCTCATGTTTGCCTGTCAATGAATCTTCAGCACCAACTTCTTGTTTAAGAGGTTAAGTACATTATCTCTCTTTAGGTGGACACTAGCTGCAGAGTGATAGCAAAATGTAGATGTGTAGATGGTCAGCTCTTACCTCCTTATGGTTCTTTTTGAGGTAAGTCATCTCTTCACTCAGGGTTTCGTACTGAATCTCCAGGTCTGTTCTGCACAGGGTTATTTCATCCAAAACTCTGCGTAATCCATTGACATCAGCCTCTACACTTTGGTGAAGAGCCAGCTCGTTTTCATACCTTAGAGAGTGTGAATGATTTTCTAATTTGTCACATGAGTGGAGACATCATCACCAATGATAAATGCTAGAATTCTGGAATTTTGAAGATTTGGCCACAGGAGACATTTTCAAAGTTTGTTGTATAATAATTATTATTTTAATTTTGAGATATTTGAAACACAAAAAGAACTGGATTGGGCACTTGTTTTATAGCAGTTCACACGTTAATAGCCAAAGTATAAAAAAGTAATAACATTCTATTTATGTTAAACCTAAGCACTTTGAAGTTTAGGAATGAATTGGTTATATTTAATGGAGGCATTGAAAATAAATTTGATGTAATGCTTTGCCTTGATTGCCATGAATTCTTTCCACTCTGGAAGTCTACTTACTTGAGTCTGAAATCATCTGCTGTGAGCCTGGCGTTATCGATTTGCAGGACAGCATTGGCATTGCTGGTGGTGGCAGCGATGATCTGGAAATGACGAGTTCGACTTTTTAAAGGCAATAGGTCACAACCAGTAAAAAACAAAAGGTGGTTTTCTTTTTAGATCAGGAAGTGAAAATAGTCAAAATTAATGTAGTTCATAAGTGGCATTTTTATCATGACATTAACCAGCTGAATTTACTTAATGCTTATTTCCAAAGCTAAATTGAAATTCCCTTTAAGAAATCACAAGAGTGATAAATGTTTTTAGACTTTAGCAGATAAAAAGAAAATTTATAAGTAAAACTACATAAAAGTGATTGTGAAGTATAATTTCTTACCTGAGCTTTAAGATCGTCGATTATGGGGAAATATCTGCTGTAGTCATGATCAAGACCACGGCAAGAGCCGGGCCCAAATTGCTCATACCAGCCCTTGATCTTCTGCTCTAGGTCTGAGTTGGCCTCCTCCAGAGCTCGCACATTCTCCAGGTAGGACGCCAGGCGGTCGTTGAGGTTCTGCATGGTCACCTTCTCATTGCCAGAGAGGAGGCCCCCCTCATTCACGGTGAAGCCAGCACAGGGATTGCCTCCCCCTGCATTTCCTCCTGACGTGCTGCTTCCGAAGGCACAAGAGAAGCCACTTCCAATGCCAGGAATGCCACAAGCATTTCCAGCCCCAAAGCTGGCTCCCCCACCAGAGAGCCTGAGTGATCCAGTGGTGGGACGGGGACAGGACCTCCTGGATCCACTGGAAAGTCGCAGAGACATGGTGTCAGGGCGAGCACGTTGCAGAACTGTATTCTTGAAAGCCAGAATGGAGTGCCTTCCCGTCTCAACTGTTTTGTTTGCCTTTTTATAGTCAATTCCCAAATGTGTTCTGGATGAAATTCTGCCTACACAGTAAAGCTCGGCTTGCCAGCCTCAGCAAGTTAGCGTAATTGGGTGATTTTTCCTAATTAGTAACTAACTTTGCTAGGCTCATTTTTGTAGGAGGGCAGTTGCCCTCAGGTTGGTGGTTATCTGAGAAATGGGTCTAGGTGGAGCACAGTCAGGTTCATTACTACGTTTTAAAATTGCAGGTGAGTCATTCTTCATTTCCATCCTTAGAAGATAACCTCATCAGTCCATTATAAGATAAAAATTTGGCATCATGGTTTGGGGATATTATGGTAAAGCAGGTTTTTTGATGTTTCTGAGACTTTTTCCTGCTTTTATTTTCACATTTCTTTCCACATAAATAGAGAATAGAATTGTAATCATTATTTTCCCAACTTGGTTCTTCAATCACCAGGTTTCTTTTTTTTTTTTTGCAATGTTTTTAAATTCCTCTAGCCATTGTTTCCGATGAGAGGTTAACTTCCGTTTTAGCTGACATGCACATGATATTTTGTTGACATTTACTTATGTCTGGGGATAGTTGTCTTCTCTTATTCATTTTGGTAATTAGAAGCACACTCCTAATTGCTGTTATGTTTTTGTGGGAGATTGGAAGGACATTAACATACTTCCTGACCCTGCAAAATTTGAAGCAAACCTGGAAGGAACTATTTCATCTTCCTCTACGTCATTGTGGTTTAGCTCAGGTGAAAGTCATCAGGAAGGTATTTATTTACTGGGTGTGTATTCACATATATTTATTGACAACCTTAAATATTATGGACATTTTAAAAACTGGAAAATAAAAAAATTATGTATATTTATGGTGTACAACATGATGTTTTGATATATGTATACATTGCAGAATGCCTAAATCAAGCTAATGAGCATATCCATTACCTCCCATTTATTTTGTGATGAGAACATTTCAAATCTACTCCCTTAGCAGTTTTCATGTGTACAATGCATTGTTGTTAACCATAGTCACCATATGCTACAATAGATTTCCTGTCTAACTGAAATTTTGTATCCTTTGGCCAACATCTCCGCAGTGCATTCGTCCCATGATTGGTAATGCTGAACATTTTTTCATTTACACGCTGGCCATGTGTATGTGTCTTCTTTTGAAAGATGTCTTTTAAATCACATTGTTTTCTTGTTATTGAATTGTTTGAGTTTCTTATATATTTTGGATATTAACCCTTTATCAGATGGATGGTTTACAATATTTCATCCAAAAGGTTCCTCTATATTTCATTGAACAGGTTCATTCATATTGTCGCAAATGACAGAATTTCCTTCTTATTTAAAGGCCGAATAATATTACATTGTGTATGTACACCACATTTTCTTTATCCATTCATTTGTTGATGGACTCTTAGGTTGACTCCCCATTTTGGCTATTGTGAATAATGCTGCAGTGAGCATGGGAAATCAGATATCTCTTTGACACACTGATTTCATCTCCTTTGGCTGTATATACGCAGTAGTGGGATTGGTGGGTCATACAGTAGTTCTATTTTTAATTTTTTGAGGAACCTCTATGCTGTTTACCATAATGGCTGCACTAATTTACATCCCTATTAATAGTGTACAATGGTTCTCTTTCTCCACATCCTCACTAACACTTGTTATCTCTTATCTCTTTCATAATAGCCATACTAACTGAGGTGATATCTCATTGTGGCTTTAATTTGCATTTCACTGATGATTAGTGATGTTGAACTTTTTTTTTTTTTTTTTTGAGACAGAGTCTCGCTTTGTTGCTCAGGCTAGAGTGAGTGCCGTGGCATCAGCCTAGCTCACAGCAACCTCAAACTCCTGGGCTCGAGTGATCCTTCTGCCTCAGCCTCCCGAGTAGCTGGGACTACAGGCATGCGCCACCATGCCTGGCTAATTTTTTATATATATATCAGTTGGCCAATTAATTTCTTTCTATTTATAGTAGAGACGGGGTCTTGCTCTTGCTCAGGCTGGTTTTGAACTCCTGACCTTGAGCAATCCGCCCGCCTTGGCCTCCCAAGAGCTAGGATTACAGACGTGAGCCACAGCGCCCGCCCGATGTTGAACATTTTTTCATCTACCTGTGGGCCATTTGTATGTATTCTTTTGAGAGATATCTTTTAAATTGGGTTACTTGTTTTTTGTTTGTTATTGAGTTGAGTTCCTTATATATATTTTGATATTAACCTTTTATCAGATGTATGCTTCCCAGTATTTTCAGCCAATCTGTGGGTTGTCTCTTCACTTTGTTAATTGTTTTCTTTGCTGTACGAAGCTTTTTAGTTTAATATAATCCAATTTGTCTATTTTTTTCTTTTGTTGCCTATGTTTTTGGGGTCATATAAAAAAATCTTTGCCAAGATCAATGTCAAGAAGTTTTTCCTCTATGTTTTCTTGTAGTAGTTTTATAGTGTTATGTCCTATGTTTAAGCGTCTAACACATTTCTTTTTACTTTGTATTTTTTTATTTACCTTTTTCTTGGGCTTATAAAGAGAAGTCCTTTTTCTCATAGTGCTGGAGACTGGGAAGTCCATGATCAAGGTGCTGGCAGATTGTTGTCTAGTGAGGGTCTGCTACCTGTTTCATAGACAGCTGTCTTTTTGCTATGTCCTCACATAGCAGAAGGCTGCTTTATGTATTTTTAAAGAATGGTGCTCTTTGGCACTTAACTCAAACTAAGAAGTAACAGACTTTGAGTGTGATGTACTGTGAACAAATTTTTTTTCTTCTTCAGATGTATTATTAAAATGTAAGATATATATTCATGTTTTAAAAATTGTTTTTCTGAAAAATATCAAGTTTAATACATTTTGAGTTGATTTTTGAATATGGCATGAGATAAAAGTTCCAATTTCATTCTTCTGAATGTGGATATCTAGTTTTCTCAATATTGTTTATTAAAGAGATTGTCCTTTCCTCATTGTGTGTTTTTGGCACCTTTATTTGAAAATCAATTGACTGTAAATGTATGGATTTATTTCTAGGCTGTTCTGTTCAGTTGGTCTATATGTTGATTTTTATTCCATTATTATGATGTGTTGGTAACTATGTATTTGTAGAAGATTTTGAGATCAGATAATGTGATGCCTCCAACTTTGTTCCTTTTGTTCAACATTACTTTGGCAACCTTTCAGGGCCTTTGTGTTTCCATATGAATTTTAGAATTTTTTTTTTCTATGCATGTTAAAAATGTCATTGGAATTTTGATAGAGATTGCATTTAATCTGTAAATCACTTAGGGTACTATGGATATTTTAATAATATTATTTCTTCCAACCCACCAACATGGGATATTTTTCCATTTATTTGTGCCTTCTGCAATTTCTTCATCAGTGTTTTATAGTTTCACTTGTTTGTGCTGTAATCTTTGTTATTTCCTCTTTTTACTAATTTTGGGCTTAGTTTATTCTTTTTTTCTAGTTCCTTGAGGTGTAATAGTGGTTTATTTGAGATTTTTCTTCTTTTTTAATGTAGGCATTTATTGCTATAAACTTCTCTCTTAGAACTTTTGCTGCATCTCATAAGTTTTGTTATGTTGTGTTTCCATTTTCATTTGTCTCAAGATATTTTTGATTTCTCTTTTGATTTCTTCTTTGACCCATTGGTTGTTTAGGAGCATGTTATTTAATTTTCACATATTTGTGAACTTTCTAAAATTCTTCCTGTCATTGATTTATAATTTTTTACTATTGTGTTTGGAAAGGATTATTACAGAACTCCCTGCCTTGTTTCACCCCAAATGAAAAAACCTCTTTAGCTTAGAACTTTGCTGCTGTCTAATCCCAGCTAACCCTTTCCAAAATAATTTGGTAAGGATGTCAGGCAGAATCTTGTGTGCAGGAGGATATGAGCAAGATTTAGAACCTCCCCCAGGCTCGAATAGTGCAGTTCTAAATTTGCTTAGTCACCAGCATGGTAGGGACAGAGAGATGCATGTGCTGCAGAATGGAAAAATAGCTATCCATATTCAGATCCAACAGATTATCACTTGCTGATCATCCATGCATGCTAGGCATTGCAAGGGTGAACAAATCCTAATGATCGATGAATATAATCTTCTTTTATATCCATGGAAACTCAAACTCAAAGAGATCAAGTTATTTACATAGTTAATCAAGGACACATTTGGGACCAGAGATTAGGGCTCTTTCCGAGTTATTCTGTTATTGATTGACATAAATGTGATTGTGAAGTACATTATTTTATTAGCATGTCCTTAGTATTGTCACATTGGGATCAACTGTGGAAATAAACAGAACCAGATTTATAAAAAATAACTTGCAACAAAAGAATTTTTAATAAAGTGGCAAAAAGGACCTCCAAAATAAAAACAAAAATTAGCGACAGCAAGATTTTTCCTTCTCTTGAAAAGGATTACATGCAAAGAACATGAGAAAAGGAAGAGAGGGAAAATGAATTCTAGCAGTTTCATTTTTAATAACAGAAATGAATAACTTCCTTGAGTTATTTGACCAATGGGATTTTAGAAAGGCAGGCTTTGTTTTGTTTTGTTTTCTTCAAAGAAGTTTTTTTTCATTATGGTCTTTCGAAGGTACTCGTTGCTCCACTGTAATGTTGCTTATTTTAGAGGATTTTTCTTCAACTGAGTGGACTCTCAGTGAAAGGACATTGCCAACTTGATCTAGTTCCTCAACCACTGTTTTGACAACAGTTTCTTCTGTTGAGTCTAAAATAAAATAAATGAATTTTTAGTGGTCATTCTTAGCAGGTTGAAAGGTATTTAGTCATGATAGGTTTGCTTTTTAAAAATGGTTTTTGCAAACTTGCAGTAAATTGACATGTATGTGTTTGAAGTCAATGCTTAGCAAGACCCTAGACTATCTTTCTTATATTTACCACTGTTTTTAGAGCAATAGGTATTTGAAAATGTAAGAGAAACATGGATTAAAACAACCTAAGTATCAGGCAAGTGTAGGCGGGTTGCAAGTAATGTTGTATTCTTTTAAATACCAACTCCTATTTTTGTGGTTTATCTTTTATAAAACCATTGAAATTTTGAAAAATAATACATTCTAGGTAAGAAAGATGTTGGGCGATTGATTCTTCATTTCAGTAATTTTATAATTTGACCACATCTTTTCTACAGGAGTATAAAATACAAGCATTAGGAATCGTCATAATGATACCTCATCCCTTTGATCCACTAGAGCTAAGCTTAAAAACAAATTTTCTTTGCTTAACAATTAACTGACTCATTTAATACAAATGCTGGAGCTTAAAAGAGTTACACCAAGTAGAAAATTTGCTATACCTTTGACTTGATTTCCAGAATTTTCAGGCTTGCAGCCTTTTGATTCATAACATGTGGATTTGCATTTTCTGTGAAGAGAAATATAAATTATTGCATTTTTTCTTTCATCAGAGTTATTATTTCATCATAAACAACTCTGCATTGGGAATAAAACTTTTGGGGTTTTAGTTTCAATAAGATTCAAATTCCTCTTATGTTTAAGGGCTGTTAGTAAGCTTTTCACAGTAAAAAAAGAGATTAAATGGATGTGTATGATCAGAAATCTCCTCATGATCAGATATTATCCTTTTCATTTAGCAACATGGGGACTCCAGGTTCTCATTCTGACTTTGTATTCAACTGCCAATGAGCATGTTTGGACTGCCTACTGTGGAGAAGGGGCTGGGTTAGGTGCTGTAGAAATTATAGAGCTAAGTAAGACACAGCAGTTTATATTGTATGAAAATAAAGTATGCCCATGTGAAAAGTTATCTACGACATGGCATGAAAGGTGCCATAAATTAAGCATAAAATGAATGGCATAATAAGTAATTTGTTTGCAGGCAGGAGCCATCAGTGCTGGGTTCTTGTTGGAATAGGCTGTAGAGGGCTGGCCTTGGCCTTGGAGTATGCAGATGTTACCTCTTCATGGAGCAGCCGTGGGCAAGATGTAGTACCAGCCTCTGATTTCCGAGTAACTTTTGTGTGTAAGCCCCTGTTACAAGCATTTTACCTACACAGTGGAGCACTATGGTTAAGAGTAGTTAAGGGTATGGTTTTGGTGTTAGCACAATTTTACCAATGAGGAAACTAGATTTAAAAAGGTTTAACGATGTGCTCATATTCACCCAGTGTGTGATTCACACCCAGGGGTGCAGTTCCGGGGCTGTTGCTATTTGGCTAACTATGATGCCTCTCCAGTTAAATCTCCCTATACCTTCATTGCTCATCTTTAATACAGGGTGCACGTGGGGTAACTAGTCTTAATAAAAGAGAGTGAGTTATAAGAAATATTCCTAAACACTTAATCACGGAAGACAATTTTTCCCTTGGATTGGAATACTGGAATTGTTAAACATTCCATACTTAAATGTTCTTCATATTACCATACATATGAATACTTTACATACTTAGAAATTTGATTTTCAAGTTTCTGTTTTCATTCACTTGGATAGTGGACATTCCTGAGGACATATATAACCATGATCTTTTTTTTTTTTTTTGAGACAGATCTTTTTTTGTTGTTGTTGTTGTTGCCCAGGCTAGAGTGAGTGCTGTGGTGTCAGCCTAGCTCACAGCAACCTCAAACTCCTGGGCTCAAGCAATCCTACTGCCTCAGCCTCCCGAGTAGCTGGGACTACAGGCATGAGCCACCAGGCTCGGCTAATTTTTTCTATATATATTAGTTGGCCAATTAATTTCTTTCTGTTTATACTAGAGACGGGGTCTTGCTCTTGCTCAGGCTGGTTTCGAACTCCTGACCTTGAGCAATCCGCCTGCCTCGGCCTCCCAGAGAGCTAGGATTACAGGCGTGAGCCACAGCGCCCGGCCAACCATGATCTTTAGAGCAGGAAATTCTAGAGCATAATATGGGTATGCCTACATAGTAAGAAAACCTGGTTGATGTTATGCTAATTTTTTTCACAAGTTAATATTTACCTTTCTTCTCCATCTATTAAGTTGCAATAAATTTCAATTTCTTTTTCTAAAAAGATTTTAATGTCAAGAAGCTGTTCATACTCCAGCTTCTGGCCTTCTGTTTCCGTTCGAATCTGTTGCAGTTGTTCCTCCATTGCTCCGATCTGATCCTGAATTTGCTGGAGTTGATCACAGTAATTTCCTTCCATCTCAGCCAAGGAGCATTCATAGGAATGTTTCTGATAGAGGAATGAATGTGTAAAAGAGAAATGTCATGTTCATATTTTAAATGTTCTTGAGGTAGAGAGAAATATTTGTACAAGGTCTAAATATTTTCATTTGAAAATATACATTAGCAATATTTTTAAAAAATTTCTTCATTAAAAAAAGTCATTTTTTGTTACATTTTGGCATTGGTGAGTGAGAGGTAATGATTAGGGACAGAATTCTTGATATTTAATATATTTTATATTTTTAGTTATATATTAGACTTAGTGTTATATATATTTTACATATGTATTTACTTATACAGACGCACATACACATTCAATTCAATGGTGATTCCTACATACCATAGCCATGAGGGACTGAAGTTCTATTTCCAGGGTTTGCAGATTGCGTTTAAGTTCCGTCAGCTCATTTCTGGCCGCTGTGGCTGCTCCTGCGTCATCAAAAATCTGTTGTTGCAGCGTTGCACTCTGAAATGTAATTGTCAGAGGGGTTAGTGATTGTTTGATCATCTGTTGAACGAGCCCTTTGTGTGCAATTTGCCATAGACATACCTTCTCGTTGAACCAGGCTTCCGCGTCTTTGCGGTTCTGTTCAGCCAAGTCCTCATACTCAGCCCTCATGCTGTTCAGCAGAATGGTCAGGTCCACCCCCGGGGCTGCATTCATCTCCACGTTCACATTGCCCCCAGCTGCACATTGCAGGACCTGCATTTCCTAGAAAAGGGATCGGATGTTAATACTCAAAGGAGGATTTTGCTTGATATTCACACCCTGCTATGACATAGACAGAGGACTCGAAGAAGGAAATCAGACCCCGTACAAAGCCACTCTGCAGGCTTCTTTACCTCCTGGTGATTGTTTTTGAGGTATGTCAGCTCGTCACTGAGGGTCTCGCACTGTATCTCCAAGTCGGTTATGCAAAGGGTCAGCTCATCCAACGCTCTGCGAAGATTGCTGGTGTCGGCCTGAACACTCTGGTGCAGGGCAAGCTCGTTTTCGTACCTTCAAGGTTATTAAGGTGCTTAAGACTTGTCATCATAGGCAGGGGCAAAGCACAGCTTTGTAAGACATTTCATACGCTAAAAGATAGGACGTTCTGTACACACTTCTGAAGCTTCTCGCAATGGCAAACTGTTAAAAGTTGGAGATAGCTACCTATTTGTAAATTGTATTTTGGAAATGTTATTTCTACAGAGTTGATTTTTTTTTTCATAAAAGGTGCTTAACAGTTAAATAAAATGTTGCTAGATTTAAAAAAATATGATAGCTCTTTTTATAAGGGCATATTTAATTCAATTTCTTCATGGATCTAATCTGACTTTATAAAAACATTTTGGTTTTCAAAGCAAAAGATACGTTCTTTAATCCACTGGTAGTATTTTTACCTTTATTGTTATAATTAATTACTTTTTTTTTTTTTTTCGCTTTGTTGCCAGGGCTAGAGTGAGTGCCGTGGCATCAGCCTAGCTCACAGCAACCTCAAACTCCTGGGGTCAAGCAATCCTTCTGCCTCAGCCTCCCGAGTAGCTGGGACTACAGGCATGCGCCACCATACCCGGCTAATTTTTTCTATATATATTAGTTGGCCAATTAATTTCTTTCTATTCATAGTAGAGACGGGGTCTTGCTCTTGCTCAGGCTGGTTTCGAACTCCTGACCTTGAGCAATCCGCCCGCCTCGGCCTCCCAGAGAGCTAGGATTACAGGTGTGAGCCACTGCGCCCGGCCAATTAATTTTTTTCCACTTACTTCAGCTTGAAGTCATCAGCAGCCAGTCTGGCATTGTCATTTTGTAGAACAATACTGGCATTACAGCTGGTCACAGAAACAATCTAAATAGGGTAGATTGTGCAAAATGTTAAGTACTGAAAGTTAAAGCAGCCTCTAGATTTCATTGTGGTGCTATATCTTCTTAGCCCATCAAGCATCTATTTTAGTATCTTTGTTCTGTATTAACGGAATATGGATTTTCTTCAGATAATAAATGTCTAGAAGTTAAGAGCCACACAGATACTTTCATTACTCTTGATAAAAAGGTATGAGCTACATATAAGGAATAAAAGTAGTTATCTCTATTTTTGAAATTCCTTCTTGTTTTCTTTTTTTTTGAAACAGAGTCTTACTCTGTTGCCCGGGCTAGAGTGCCATAGCATTAGCCTAGCTCACAGCAACCTCAAACTCCTGAGCTCAAGGGATCCTCATACCTCAGCTTCCCCGAGTAGCTAGGACTACAGGCACACGCCGCCACACCCAGCTACTTTTACCTATCTTTAGTAGGTCTCACTCTTGCTCAAACTGGTCTCAAACTCCTGAGCTCAAGTAATCCTCCCACGTTGGCCTCCCGGAGTGCTAGGATTACAGGTGTGAGCCACCACACCTGGCCTTGAAATTATTTCTTTTTTGTTATTTAATTCTGCAAATTTTTTATTGCCAGGCACCTCTCTTCGGACTGGGAATACAGAGAGAACAAATTCTACATTGTATAAATATGTTAAGCTTACTTTGTATTTTCTCTTCTTTAAGCTATGCACACCCAAAGTCTGTAGTAAAAGCATGCCAGTGCATATTTCTTACCTGCCTTTTAAGATCTTCAATGACGGAGGAGTATCTACTATTGTCGTGATCGTGTCTCCGGAAGGAACCAGGCCCACATTTCTCATACCAACCCTTGATCTTCTGCTCTAGGTCTGCGTTGGCTTCCTCCAGAGCTCGCACATGGTCCAGGTAGGACGCCAGGCGGTCATTGAGGTTCTGCATGGTCACCTTTTCATTCCCAGAAAGGAGGCCGTGCTCATTGCCAAGAAAACCAGCACCCACACCACTCCCTGACCCTCCACCACCATTGCAGAAGCTTCCTCCGGAAGAAATGCCCCCAAGGGTACAAGAAAAGCTGCTCCCTGCTCCTGACCCGACACACACATTCCCAGCCACGAAGCCTGTTGTTCCTCCACCAGACAGCCTAACAGACGCAGCTCGTGAGCAGATCTGCCTGGATCCACCGGAAAGTCGAAAAGACATGGCGACAGCCCAGCCCAGCGACCCTTTTCCAGAGAGGAGCTAAGCCAAGTACACCTTCCGCAGAGGTTAGCTCCATTGTCCTTTTATAGGATTCACTAGGTTGTTTCAGTCTTAACTATGCCCATCTGTAATAAAATTTACTTGCATTCTAATTGTTGTTTTTCATAATTGGGAGATTTTTTAAATAGTGTCCAGTCTGTAGGTGGAAAGATGCCCCAAAGGATATTTTTATATACATAAAAAAGGTGTCAGGTAGAGTTATACCAAATCACAGCCTCCAAGGTCAATATTAAATATGAGTAAATGCGTATCTTTTTCACCTCTGGAATAGACCCTAGTCCTCCCCGTATAACAAAGCGAATTAATAATTCAAGTAAGAAATGTCTTGTACTTTTGTTGTGCAAATGCTCATAGAGTATCTCTGTTATTTCCACTTTACTGAATATTTTCTTTTTTATTTCAATTACAGACTCTTTACATCTAGTGATCTTTTGGTCATGGGAGCTTTTAAATTGCTTTTCTAAGACTTGGAGACTAAAATAATAAAACTTTTTCTGTAACTTGCTTATCAATTTCACTAAAATTCATGAACATATGGTGTTTGATGGAGAATTATTTGGATTAAGATTTCTTGGTTTGGTCCAGTAGAACTTCAATTCAACTAACTTCTGAGTCTCTACATTGTTCACTTCTTTACCTCAAAAATATCGTTTATTGTCTTTTTGTTTAAATTTATGTATTTAAGGCATTATGAGTTACTTTGAGAAGTGAGCATTTCATTGATCATTGGGGAGTAAGATATATGAAGTAGAGGGCTGAAGTAGAGGGCTTCTCATCACTACCTAGAAAACCAATAATTATGGTACTGTAGATGGAGGATGAGTTGTCATAGGGAAGTAGACTCTTTATTCTCCTGCCTTGACGCCCTTGGGAAGGTATCCAGTCTTGTCATGCCTCATTTCCCTACTAGGCAAATGAAAATAATAACATTGAACAATCTCAAATGAATGTTGGGCAGCTCCAATAATGAATGACTATAAGACAGTCTGAAGGGCACAAACATTTTGTAAATATTAATTATTTAAATTATTATAATAAAGTGGACATGTCACACAGGGCCAGGTCTCTATCACTTATAATGGTACAAATTGATTGGTTAACTAATTACAGGTTTAGTTTTGAAAGAGTGATTTTTTTTCTGAATGTGATTTTTCAATGTTATGGATATTGATCACTTTGAAAAACATATAGCATGATTGTCACTGAAAGATATGGAATATGTGGTGGGCTGCTTGGATTTTTTTTGACCAAAAATATTTAAGTTTAATGAATATAAAACTGTAATTTGGACCATCAGCTCATGCTTAGTACGTGGCAAGTTAAAAGACATAGCTCATATTAAGAGACTTATTACTGATTTTGTTGTGATCTGGTCAAGTTTTTAATCTTTTGCCCATGCTTTCCATGAATAAAATAAGAAAAAGGGTATATGTCAGTGGCATAGTCTACAAGGCTTTTGTTTCTTAGATAAGGGTTATATGAGATTGCAAAGTTATTATTAACATAATCTGTGTCTAGATACTTTACAAATACTAATTAACTTATCTTTTGTGAAATAAGTTAGGGACATATTATTAAACCATTTTAGAGATGAGTTGGCTCGGAAGCTCAGGGGCAACACAGATCACAAAACATTTCTATATCAAAGCAAGACTAGAACACGATGCTTAACTCCTTGGAAGACCGTCTCGCCTGTTTACTCATACGGGCAAGTCTCTTGAATTTCTGTAGTCATAAATTTCCTCTAAACTAATACTTACTCTAAAAGTTTAGGTATACTTCAGTCCTTTCTTAAAGTGGAGGATAGATTTAAGAAAATCTCTGGGCCACTTCTATCTATATATTTCTTTCCTAAGAGTGATTTTTTATTTATGGTAAGAAACTGGTATTCAGCAGTATATCATGGGTCTTTTCTTGAGAGTTTCCTAAGTATCAGAGCATTATATGATGTGTGTATGATAGGTATTCAAAATAATTGAATTTAATTAAACTTTATATAGTGTTAATGTCTCCTTACTACAGGATAAAGTTTTCATTATATTATTGTTAGTGGCCGGGTCCAGGTCCATTCTGACCTTGCACAGTAAATCATGAGTTTTGCAAAAGAAAAAAGATTTATTTGCAAGGCCTAGGAGCCAGGAGGTGGAAGAACAGCTCTTAAATCCTCCTCCCCAAAGAAAAGGCTTAGCATATTTATGGGTTAGGGAAGTGGGGTGGTCTAAGGCTTGGGGAAAGGCGATTGGCAGTGGGGAAAAATGAAGTAACAGGTTTCTTCTGCACAAGTGTAGTTGGGGCTCATGGCATTTCATAGGACATATGTACAGAAAATGGTAGCACTAGCATGATCTGAGGGTGGAGTTTTTGGCCCTTTGATTGAAAAGGCCAACTCTTGGTCACTTGCATAGGCCCAGTTGAAGGGTTGGTGCTCTCAATGGGTTTGCACTGGACAGGAGCTGGTCCACGTTCCTGAAAAGCAGCTGAAGTGACCATTACCATGGTGACTTATGAATGGTATCTATAAAGTAACCTGTGAAGGTTAATTTTCACTGTTCAGCTGCAGCTGTGTGGCCTTCAGCTTCATGGAAATAGGGGGGGAAAAACAACAAAAAGCAAGCAACCAAAAAACAAGCAGGGCAGGCAAACCTGATCAAAGGAACCCCTTGATTTCATTATCTTATTCTAATGGTCATATGCTCATTTTCCTTGTGATGAACTTATTGTTTAATTTCAAGTATGCGTTTTGTACCTTTCTATTAGCAAATTTGGATAACCATTTTTCTTGAACATGAATGAGGTTTGCTTTGTCACTGGATTCCTAGGGTTTTTTTGTTGTTGTTTTTTTTCCCTGAGACTCAGATTCTAGTGTGCTAATTCCTCCCGTGAAATGACTGCCCAAATTTGTTTGGGAAGGAGACTCTGAATGAAGGCTCTGCTAAAAGTTAGTGTGCACTTAGCTTTTTCATCCATTCTCTTGGGAGAAGGAAGGTGGAGTGGTAAGGTTCTCAGAGTGTGGTATGATGTTGTGGTTAAGCACAGACCCTGAGCCAGACTGCCTGGGTTGGCTTTCCAGCACCGCCAGTTATTAGCTGCGTGACCCTGGGCTAATTATGCAGCTGCTCTCTGCTTCAGTTACCTAAAACGAGGATAATAACAGTACCTACCTCATAGGGTTGTCCTGAGGATCCAGTGATGCTCAGAATAGAGTCTAGCACATACGAAGTGCTGGTTACCAATTATTGTGAACTCTTTCCTGGAATTTATGTCAGAAAGTCCCGAATATAGCCTGGTTTTAGTAAAAAGAGTTTATTTGACCTGGTTCTAGTGGAAAGAGTTTATTTCCTGAGTTATAAGTTGGTGGTCCGACATCTGAAATACTGAATAAATCAGAGCTAAGTATTAAAACAGTTTTTTTTTAATTTTAAGGCTTTTTTTTTTTTTACATTAGGGTTCACTCTTGGTGTTGTATATTCAGTGGGTTTGATAAAGGAAAGTGGACCCCAAAACTGGGGTCCAGCCTGGCCGCCAAGTGAATTCTTGGCTTCATGCAAGAAAGAATTCAAGAGCAAGCCCAAAGAGTAAGGCAAAAGCAAGTGTACTGAGGAAGAAAGACAAAAAATCATAAAAAGAAAAGTGGCTCCGCGTAGACACAGCAGCGTTTGTGCTGTTGGCTGCCTGTTTTTGTGGGTATTTCTTGGCTGGGGATTAAACAAAGGGAGGATTGTCTGTGTGTTTCTTGGGAGGGGAGAGGGGGTTGAGGGAGGGTCATTCTCATTTCAACCATGTAGGACAATTCCTAGGAGTTGCCTTGGCATTTGTAAACTGTTGTGGTGCTGGCAGGAGTTTCTTTTAGCATGGTAAGGAATTATAACTGGTGTATAAAGAGCAGTGAGGGTAATCTGAGGTTGTTTTCTTATGTCATCTGGGCTCCAACTGGTTTTGGCTGGTTTCTCTGCTGTCTCCTGTTTTATCCACAACCTTCTTCCCAGGCTTATGCCTCTACTGAGTAAGGCCTGCCGTTCCCTATCTCAGGTTTGGATACGTGTACAGTGGCATCTATCCATCCTTACGGTATCATAGAAAGTGTTTTCCCTGCCCTAAAAATCCCCTGTGCTCTGTCTATTCATTGCTCTTCCAACAACCTCCGGCAACCACTGATCCTTCTACTGTCTCTATGATTTTCCCTTTTCCGGAATATCATATAGTTGGAATCATACAGTATGTAGCCTTTTCAGATTGGCTTCTTTCCCTCAGGAATACACATTTAAAGATTCCTCCATGTCTTTCATGGCTTGATAGCTCATTTCTTTTTAGCGTCGAATAACATTCCATTGTCTGGATGTACCAGTTTATTTATCCATTCTCTTGCTCAAGGACATCTTGTTTGCTTCCAAGTTTTGGCAATTATGAATACGTCTCCTGTAAACATCTGTGTGCAGATTTTTGTGTGGACAGAAGTTTTCAACTCCTTTGAGTAAAGAATCCAGCGATTGCTGGATCATATGGTTAAGAGTATGTTTAGTTTTTGTAAGAAACTACCAAATTGTCTTCCAAAGAGTCTGTAAGCTGAGTACATTTGATGAAGAAACCATGTGGCAGGATGCTTTCTTCTCCTAATTTGATGTAAGGGTATGAGATGAGAGGACTGGTTAATTAAAGAATTAAGCAGGAAAGTAAGTATTTGCTTTAAGTTCACCTGGGTATTATTAAATGCATCTGGGAAAGAGAGGCGGGAAGATAGCTTGAAAGTGATTGCAATTCAACTGCACTGAACCCATTCTGCAGAGATCAATAATATGGTACTGGTTCCAGAGAAAAGCAGGCTCTTTCCGTTATGAGATTAACATGAGGAGGTGTAAATTGTCACCCTCAAATAAGCTGATGGAGGGTTTTCTGCTGAGCTTACACCTCCTCCGACCCCCATGTAGCTTCAAACCACAAATTAGAGAAATAGATTCATTGATGGAAAGTTCTAAATATTTCACTAAAAGTTATATTTTACTTGAGAGACACATTGCTATGCAGTCTTGGATGGCAAAAGCTGAGTACAGTACTTGTGAATGCCCAACCTCGTGGTGGAGT